TTGTCATGGAGGTAGGACAGGTGCTTCGTAACATGTTTTAAAGATCTATGAAGGATGTGTATTTTTATCACAATTGAGGCTTTTTTAATTGTTATTTGTATTACAGCCTTCATTCATTCCGAACAGAGTACATACGTCTTCCTATTCCCGTTTAGCACATTGGCTGGCAAAATCCTCGACTTTATTCATCAGTGTTTATGAAGTTGTGTTTCCAATTGATGGATATAAGCTCAAGAGATTTCGGGCATTTGGATAACATATTGTTTCAGAGAAGTGTTATGGAAAATGTTGAGGTCACCAGTAATAACGTGGCCAGCCGGATTATATGGGATATGACAAACTTGCACAGGTGCAATCATGAGATTTCGATTTGAATTCGTCAATTTTGAGACTGGTTTGATATAAGTATAAGAACTGAAAGGTACAGACTGATTTTTATAGTAAGAAGACATTTACGAGTGAACTTATATATTAAACAGGATATTGCTAAAGTTGATGACATCTAGACCTTTATTGGTAAAAAAAAGTTTAAGAAAGGATCGCTTTTTCTTACCAGTTTGAACAGCGGTTTGCTACAGTGGTTTCCATACATAAGTTGTACAGAGAAAGACATTTTTGAAAGGGGCAGTGAATACAGCTTCGTTCGGATGTGATGAATGCCCAACTGTTTTTGTATAAATGTCAAAAAGTCGGTAATGGAGACATCAGGGAGAGTAGGTAATGTATAATGACGATGATCATGACAATGTCTTCGTCGAGGAGCAAAGTTGAAAACATTCATCACATTCACTATCAACTTTGTCAATGCAACCATAAAATGTCGCAGTTCCCAATTCTCAATCCAGCATTCCGCCTTTTGTCTACGAAGAGGTGTTGACACTTGAGGGTTGTAAGTCCAGATTTGTACTGTGGATTTAAATGCTGGTAAGCAAAGCCTGATCCGCATAACGTTTATTAAGCCATGGTTACATAATGAATGACCCGAACATTTTATAAAGTTCGTGCGTACGAAGCGCTTTGCTTGATTTACCTTCACCAGGAACGTTTATGTATATGCTATACATGCTATATATATACTATCCGTGAAAATATATCATCAGAGGAACAATGACAAAAACATCATGATTATGATAACGATTGATTGATTGATTGTTGTATAACGCCACTTTCAGCACCATTGCGCTATTTATTAGTGGTCAAATTTATTGGTGGAGGAACCCGGAATGGCCGGAGAGAACCACCAACATCCGGTAGGAAATCTGACAATCCTAGTCAATTAACATTCGAGTCAAACGCACCTGTCATGAGTTGGATTCGAACTCACGACCTCAGTGTTGACAGGCCAGTGATACAGTAGTTCGACTACTTAGACAACTCGGCCATCGAGGCCCCTCATAATAAAGCCGTTTTGGAGAAATGTATGGAGTCAGAATCTTTGACATGTAGAAACATCCTATAGTAATGTTAGTCCAACTTTAATGGAAATAAGTTTCACTTTTATTGATTCGAGCGTCACTGATGAGTCTTTTGTAGACGAAACACGCGTCTGGCGCAAATACAAAATGTCAATCCTGGTATCTATGATGAGTCATTTTTTTCAATACATGTACTTCTTTTTTTTAATGAATTCTTACATCTTATGGCTTATGGGTTTAAGTTGATTTAAAATTTTAAACTCTGCTTCATACTTGTTTTTTTTTTTTTTTTTTTTGTAATTTCTGTTGGACTGTTTTTTTTTTTTATCTATGATCTAAGACAAGTAGGATGACTTTTCCTGTATTAGGTAGGTACATACAATTTCACTCAAACTATGATTTATACTTTAAACTAATCTTATGTAACAACCAGGCAGCTTGTCACTATGGCAACTTTAGAAAGAGAAGGGAACTATTGATTCAAAACTTTCAAGCAATGCTATGAGGACGTTAGCCTTAAGTTATGACTTCATTTATTCGCCCATCTATATAAAAAAAAATGATTAATCTTAATTTTCATGATTTCGGGTCCTCAATGCTAAAGTGTTTTGATTCGAGTGTTACTGATGAGTCTTCTGTAGACGAAACGCGCGTGTGGCGTACACAATGTTACTGTAATCCTTGTATCTTTAGTGAGTTTCTGTACAATATTTCTATTAATCATCATAATATTTAAATGTACGTTTTCCCTTGTTGTTTTAAATGATAATTTCGCCAGTTACACCAAATTCGCGGCTTTAACACTAGTTACTACATATGACGCTCGAATCATATGACTTATGATGCATGCACTGTATGAGATGTTTACCATGTCAATGTACCTGTTTTTAATCCCGTCAAAGGTAAAACCAATGCGATTGTTTTATTCCCGTGTATACATGATGGCGAATCGACTCAAGTATAAGCTGACGTCGGTATATTTCACAGATCATAAAAGATGCGTAAATAACGCACAATAACAGCATGTCTAAACACTAACAATATAACATTATTCAGACGACTTTTAGAAATACGTTGGTACAAATAGGATTCGGTATCACGCATTTTTTTGTTTTTTTGTTTTTACAATATTTGTTTTCATTAATTCATCTAATAAAATGTAGTAATATTTTTAAGTATAGTTACATGCAATAGATATGATTCATGAACACGCAGAGTAGACGTCGACGTTTATTTTGTTACAGAAGCACAGGTTATCTTCATCAAACTTAGTATCGATACAGTTCAATTTAACTGCTTATTTTTGTTATATATGGTTATACTGCAACGCTTTCAATTTCTCAGAGGTAATCGTGACAAGGTAATTAGGATGGAAATCCAAGAGGCTGACCAAGTCAAAACTGTGCTTACTCCTTCAAATAGCAAATAGTAATGCCATTAGTAAAATGCTATGAAAACAAACGCAATGTATATGTAATAAGAAAATTAAGGCGCTACTTTGAGTATTAACGATTTTCTTGACATTACAACAGAACCGATCTGATTTATTTTTTTGGTAAATGGAATATAATCATTTTAATTCTTTTTAAAATGTGTTCCTATACTTAAAGAAATCTAAAAGCACCGTTACGGTTCGTTAAGTAAGTGTAAATGGATGTTCGTTAAATGAATTTGAAAAGGGAGTATAAACTATGGATGGTTCACAGATACAATAACTCCCTAAATACTACAAAAAATGACTTCGATATGTATCATGTGACTTTTATTTTAAAATAAGTGAGGGTAAGGTCTGAAAAAATAGTTTAACCAAGCCCCTTTTCATACACCTTAACGGAACTGCGTCATTAATTGTCGTATGTCGTATTGTAATGCTTTTCATGTTTTGAAACTGGGATTTTAAGGACATGACAGATCTTTGATTTTCCTGTGAACTTTATTCACAACATTTGTTAACTCGGGACGATTTATGGCTTGTCCTATTGTATAGACACATGTTTATTGTCTCTCGTTAACCCAACATCTTCGTTTAATCTTAATAAAAATAGTATTTTATTGACCAAAACAAATATTTGTAATGTATATGTTGAAGATATCATTACACGGGAGATATCTGCAGCAGCAATCTTTATAATTCTGTCATCAATGTTCGGAATAATTTACCGATACAAATACAATTAACTATAGTTATCTTAATCCGTTTAATACAGCTTTATAGTACCGAGAATAAATATATAAAGTTTTCGTATTTTTATGTAATCCATGTTGCTTTAATTCTTTATTAGTATTCTGTGTTATGTTTTGGGACTTCTTTTCTCTTTTTTCATTTGTCCATGATGTGGTCGCTCTTCATTTATCTGTGATTGTGTATCCCTCATTGGCGTATTCATACTTCTGGATAAGTCTAACGCCTCTTTTAGCAAGTCTATGTGCAATTATAAGGTTGATACTTTATATTGCCGACGCCTTAGCATTGATTGAAAATGTTAATGCGGAATCAGTTATATTGCATGATAAACAGTTGATGTTAGACTAAATGCATCGATATGATGAGCCATTAAAGCCTTACGCTTCTAAAATGTCTAATACAAAATAAATAGATATCAAGTTTAATCTGTTGTACCATTTACACATTTCATCAATAAATTCGTAATGAATAGCGCTCGCAACCAAAAGTTGGAAATTCGAAAGATTCAAAGTGTTACTTGTGACGGGTACAACATGAGGAGCAGGGTCTGCTTACCCTTCCGGAGCACCTGAGATCACCCACGGTTTTTGGTGGGGTTCTTGTTGCTTAGTCGTTAGTTTTCTATGTTGTGTTTTGAGTACTTTTGTTTGTCTTTTGGTCTTCTTCTTTTTTTGCCATGGCGTTGTAAGTTTATTTTCGACTTATGAGTTTGAACGTCTTTTTTTGTATCTTTCGCCTCTCTTTTGTAACTTACATCTTGTACATTGTTATAGTTATCATCTCTTTTTTTATGTTCGTCGTACGTTTAAGTTACATTGCGTTCAGTTTTGCATAAAGTCATGTTAAATAAGGATAATTTGAAATTATTGAACATTGAAAATCTGTTTACAGTCTGCTAGTGCAAAACATAAGACACATGATAAAAGCAATTTTGTTTCATGTTTTTTTAATTATATTCCTATAAAAAACAAATTAACAATCATCATTAACAGATAAATAATGATAACTGATATCTAATTCAAATAATATGGTATTACCACAGACAATCATAACAAAGACATCAAACTTGATAACGTAACATAACAGTTTATTATGCGTATTCATTCAATATAAAACCAAATACATAAAAATGGCTCCCTGGTTGCCAGGTATAACAAAAATCAAATTATCAGAATCGAAAATCATCAAAATAAAAACAAACGAAAAAATTAATTTTCTATTCAAATATTAGGCACTTTAATGTATGATTTGTCATATTGCTTTTTACAAAAAAAACTTAATGATGTATACTAATGATATATAGTACGTTTATGAAAGTATGTTCAAAGTATTTTTCAATGTTAATACAATGTACTGTATTTAATACATTTCGTTTAAAATATATTTTTAATCATCCACAAACGCATTCATTATATCAAACATCACAGATCAAACAAATTTTCACACCGCGATAAAGGTTTAGAGTTTCTTCTAAAGAGTTTATTGAGAAGTTTTTTTGGTCCCTTACATGATGAATGCTTTTTCACTTTGTCCTGTGACAGCATCACTGCTTTTTCAATGGCATCTGGGTTAAGCTTCAGCTGTATTTGTTTCAATATTCCTACTAATAGTTCGTCAACTTTGTGATTTAACACAGCAGATGTTTCTATGTATTTGCATTCAAATTCTTTGGCGAGTTGACGTGCTTCTGAAAAAAAAATAGAATATTACTTATAGATAAGATAAATTGGTTCAATAATGTTACTTTTAGAACCTCCTTTTTTTGTAATCAATGCTAGAGATGAATATTATGTTAGTCTGTAACTGTAGCCTCATTTCTTGGTTCTTTGTTTTTCAATAAAGCTTTCTTTACAGTTGCAAATCGAATACAGCAGCTGTTTAATGATTTAAAATAGACATATCAATCACAAACGTGATGTTTGCCCCTTACCAAAACGATGCATTTTGCATTGCTATTGTATTAAAAAAAAATGTATAATAATTCAATCAATAAAGATAAAAGATAAAACAAACAAGCAATAGTAGCAATTTTACCTTCTTTGGTTATTTGTCGTTTTCTGACTAGATCAATTTTGTTTGCAACTAGTATAATTGGTCTATCACTATCAAGTTCGTTGCGCAGATAATGTAAAAATCCCTCTGCTATTGTAAACGAATCGCTATCGTGGACAGAGAACACAACAACATATGCATCAGCTGGTAGATCATCATTCTAAATTAAATAAAAGAATTGTAAAATTAGTTCAATGTATGCTTACTCTATAAATAGAATTGCAGACGTACGTAGCATTCAACTTATTTCCCTTTTTCACTTTATCAATTTTTATACAATATTTATGCAGATTTCATATTGAATACAAACACTGGAAAAACTATCTAATATTGCAGTTGAGAGTGATTTTATATTATTTGAATAACAAACTAGTATACTGAGTATATCAAAAGTATATATTATTCTTGGTTTTTGATTTATACAAGGTGAATATAAGATGAGATGCAATGCAATACATCTTTTTTGTTTTATCAAGTTATTGATGAGCACTCAAATAAAAATAAGGATCTACATACCTCAATTGATGAAAAATCTATGAATTCCATTGTAGATTCCTCATTGTCCACTACAACAGTGAGCGTGTTTTCGTCAAATTCATCTGAAAATATAAGAAATGTATGTTAAACCTTGTTGTATGTGTAAATTATAGGCATTTTGAAATACTATCTTAAACCATTTTCTGCAAGCGAATTTGTCGTCAAGTTATTTAAAAGTAATGGTTAAGATATGCAACAGATTCTTATTATATACAATTATTATTGGATTAATTAACGAACTCTTATAGCATTTATAGACAAAACATATTTTCTGTAATCTAAAATAATGAGGAAACTTACCGATTATAACTTCCGAAGACGACATGTACTCTGAGCTCATGAAGCGATTTTCCAATGCAGTTTTACCAACACCATGAGCACCCATAATTTGTACCCTGTAGTATCCAGTTGAGCAAGATGATGAGCAACTCCAAGTAGTAGAACTTTCAGTTGATGTGTCACTTGTAAGTCTAGACCTATAGTGAGATGATGCTGATGAACCACTGCTTTTTCTTCGACGACATCGAAGACTATTATTTAAAAGTCCATCCGATGTAAGTTTAAAAGACCGTACTCGTTTGAATTGTTTTTTTATTTCATTTACAATCAGGTCACTAGACGATCTGGATATTGTGACCGGAGATAAATGTATACTGTTCCTGTGTAAATCCTTTCTTAGAAAATCGTTTGTATGCCTTCGTTTTTTCTTTAAAGAACATGTCCGAGAATTCGGTTCTGATTGTGTTCCTTTGCTTATTCCTAATGATAAATGTTCCGAAAAGACATATCTTGGTTCCTGGCAATTCTGCATTTCGTTGTTATCAAATACCTCCAAATCTTTCTCTTTGGTCATAATTAAAAACAATTTAGATTGTTGCAATGTATTTAAACGGGATGAAATATTTTTCAACAACGTCAAAATCAAGATTCAATAAAACGGTACTATAAACACCCACTACGCATAACATACAGACTAATGATACAAACGATTTCCAATATCATGCCTTATTTATACTTTTTCTCTGAAAACGTTAATTGAGCACGTGACATGTCACTTCTTGAAGATTTCAATGTCAATAATCTATTGGTTAAATAGTGGTTATGTGTATGGAAACTGATTCCATGTGACAAATCTTCTGTTGATTTGGATACAAACAGTAGGAAGACGAGATGGGAAAATTGTTAACAGTCAGCATTGGTTGGGGTTCATAAAACGCATTTACAAGGTGTTATCTGCTTCAGTAGTTTTGAAAAAATAACCTTAAACAAGTAAATGAAAATAGATAGATAAATTCGATAGGATAGCAAGCAATATAGTTTAATAACAAAAGTTAAACTTTTCTAAATTATTGTTAAACTAAACATTATACAAAGTAAAATAAATTGTTATATGTAGATGCTTTGGTTTATATTTTTCGTATATATAATAACATACATTAAAGTATAACTATTCGATTCAAATCGTAAAAAAAAATAGCTTTACATTTTATAGTTAATTTTGTTGTTGAGTTGCTGTCCCATTAAAAATGGACAACGGTATGATGCACAGCAAATAAAAGTATCGAGATACCAGCTGCCAACCATCCAACAATTTAACAATAATTGATCGGTACTCGTTAATATTTAATTCATACGACGTGTCTTGTTTATCAAACGTTTTCGTACTTCAAAGAAGTTATTGCTTTTATCCTTAAAGCATTGTTCAAAACAATAGCAAGTCTCAATGAGAATATCTTATTGCAAATCGGATCTATGCTATATGTTTTAACGGTATTTTCCTTATTATTTTTTCCTTTTTATTTTGAATACATTTAAGATTTTAAAATATTATAATAATAGCCATTGAGTACAGATATAAAGGAACAAAAATTATATTAATACTAAAAATCAAACTTCATGTTTAGAATCGGTTTATAGACCATCAAAACCTATGGTTACTTTTAGAAAAGTCCCAGGGATGATAAATCCGTTCAAATTAATTGTGTAAAGAATATAATTATTTTCCATTTAATCGCACATATTTTGATAATACAACATATTCAGGTAAAACATCTAACATTTGATACAAAAATAAAATGGGGTTATAACCATACAAGAAAAATATGAAAATCCATCTAAGATAAAGATGGAATATCTAAGAGCATCAATTAAAAAGAAGTGCCTTGACAGTGTATCCAAAGCCATCTAAGATGGTAACAGATATTTTAACGGCACTATTTACCAAAGTTTTTAGAGTAACAAAAAAGGGATTCCTCGTTAGCTGGTACCTAGGGAGAATGACGATCGAAATGCAACAGTATTATTTCCGGTAATCGCACTATACAAGTACCAAACGTGAAATATCTTATCTTTTTTCTTGTAATCATAGTTCAGTATCATTGTGTTATTGTTTGATCATTTCTTTTACTTATTGATTCAATATTATTAGAAATACCTTTTCAACCTTAAAATACTTTATCCTTTTATCGACAGTATATCAAGTAATTAAGTGATAATTGGATATCTTTCAGAACAACATCACGATTTTATGAAATTATTTTTAGAAAACAAAAACTAGCCATTTTATGAAACAAAAAAAAACAAGAATTACTTCATCTGACGACTAATAAAATCAAATACAACTGATTGCTAGAAATGAGAAGGCTAGAACTTGTTTGAAGTTTTCATAAGATATCAAAACAAAAATATACATACAGTTCTTCTTTTGTTTCCATAGCACAACGAATAACCATTTTGATCGCATTTGATTAAAAGTATACTCTCAATAGGTCATGCAAACTGCTAGTTTGCTCTTTATATACTTTAACAATATTTTAACAAGTTAAAATTGATTTTGAAGTTTAACAGTTTTGAAAACATTTCATGAAACTATGTCAATGCTAGCATATGTTAGTATTCATTGGTAGTATATGAAATGAAACAATTACACAAATCAATGTAAACGAATTTGTATACAGATTTGGGGAAATCTTTATGATAGACTTCAACTTTTATGTACATAGTTCTTCGCATTTCACTTTCTTACAAAGGCCGTTAGACCAGGATCAAACATACCACACATTTTGCACATTTTGTATGTGATAATCTATCTTGCTCTAGATTCAGAATTCACAAATAATAAATGAAATTTGAAAGATTTATATAATATCGAAACATAAAAACATGTCAGATGACGAGAAATACTATCAAAAATATAAGACAAAGAAATTTCGGCAGAGGAAATCAGCTTATCTTTTCCTTCAAGTCTGTGAAGCTTAATCATCTCAATAAAGTTTAAATGAGAGTTGCACTGTTTTCATCATTCCCCAAGGTATAACTAAATAAACATAAGTGAGACAATGTGAAACTAGTCTATTTACATCAGATATACTACTCATTGTGCAAAATTGCTTGTTAATTTACTAGAATTGTAATGTTGGCGTTTCAACAAAAAACTTTTCTTTGTAAAGTATACCCACAATTTTGGGTCGTATTCAGGATTCTGGGCATACTCGATATTCACTTTTTAAATGTGAATGTAGCACATTTTATTTATTTGATAATCAATTTCTAAACAATCATTACACAGGAGGCGGAAGTTTGTGTTTGATACATTTACATATCCAAACTGTTACATTGTTTTCGCTTTCGATTAAAAGTATACTGTCAATATGTCATTCAAAATGCTAGCTTGCTCTTTATATATTTTGTAAATATTTGACCAAGTTGAAATTTTTTTTGAAATTAAACAGTTTTGAATACATTGTGATATAACGTTTCATGAATCAATGTCAATGTTGGTATATGTTAGTGTAGGTACATGAGGTATAAGAAACGAAAAAATTACACAAATCAATGTAAACGAATTTGTTTACAGATTTAGTGAGCTCTTTATCATGTTTATGATGGACCAACTTATATGTACATAGTTCCTCGCATTTCACTTCCTTGCATAGGCCGTTAGACCAGGACCAAACATACAACACATTTTGCACATTTTCTGTAATAATCTATTTGTCTCTAGATTCAGAGTTCATAAATGATTAATGAAAGTTGCATGAATGATGAAATATCAAAACAAAAAAAACCTGTCAGATAGAATGTCTAGATGCAACTTTGGCATAAAAATTTAAACGGCTTATAAATGCTTTTTTGAGCTATATAATGTCAAAATATGACATTTTTGCAGAATTTCAATCAAGTAAAGTTGTAAATCTCTTACTGTTGTTCATATTGACAATTGATACCATCAGACCATAAAGGGAAGTTGCCAAAGTACAGAATCTACATTTACTGATTTCATCTTTTAGGCCTGAGACCACAGTTATTTCGTTGTGCATTTCTTTTAGACAATAAATACAAATAAAGAAATTAAACAAACTCGCACTTTCTCTATCTCAATAAGTTATGTACAGTGTAGTGTACTACTCTCGAGACAAATTATATCAAAATCATATAAAAGTCTAGCAGTTTTAACTAAAAAAATAGACAGATGTATGTTAAGGGAGTCTATAATCCGTTTGGTAGCTCCATACATACTAATTGTTTACCGTTATCAACTGGTCAAAACTATTACTTTACCTACAAATTTTGTTTACATGTAATTTTATTTCCCTATTTATTATGTTATGCATTGAATATGAATAAATAACTTTGGACGGTGTAGGCAAAAGTTTCATCCCCCCGTTGTATATCTTGTAAATTGTGAAGATGGAAGTTATAACTTTTGCAGTTGTAAGATTATATAAAAAAAATTATAACTTTAATCATGTCAGCACATAATCATTGCTCCCCATCATTGTCCATTCAGGTAATATCTACGGGCCTTGGGATTGATAGTCTGCTAGCAGAGGTATCTATTCATAGTTTATAAAACATATATAATTCTAATCTCGAACGTACAACGCGTTTTTGAATGATCATCAACAGGTTGGCCAAAGAGCAAAAGTTTGGATAACAATATATAAAAACCTTTTGGAGCAATTAGCGATTATATAAAAAGAACAATAAGTTGTATGACTTATTTTGATTAATTTGTTGTAAAAGTACAATATAGATTACGTCATAGCATGAAGATGACATTTAATATTGTTATATTATCTTACAGCAGAATTTTTTTAAAGATAAACCTAATGACCAGTAAAAGTATTGAGAAGATTACCTAATATGTTTAAATATATTTAGATCCATTGTTTTTCTGAATTTGGTTTTGGGATTTTATTTTTAAAGGCGGAGATACCACAGAAAAATTGAAACTCATAAGTCGATGAGAAACTGTCAAAGACATGGTAAAAAAATGAAAAGCAACAAGAAGACAAAAACAGAATACAAAACACAGCATAGAAAAAAGACTGAGCAACACGAACCCTGTTGAAACCATGACCGGTAAAGTAAGCAGACCCTGCTTCATATGTTGCATCCAGTCGTGTTGCTCATGTAAATGCAAACTCTGTGATAAGTCTAATTCGGGGATGTCAAATACGAAGAAACGACGACGGGATTATGGTTACAACTAATGGGAAAATATCAGTCGTCTTCTTTGAAACAGATATTCGGGATTGCGTCACTAAAATTTTCGAGGGAATAACTCTAATGATACCACTTTGATTTAAAAGCTGACTTGTAAATAGCAACCCTCTGTCTTTGACATAATGATAGTAAAAAGTCAAAAAAAAAAAAAAAAAAAAATACGAACTCCAAGGAAAATTCAAAACGGAAAGTCCCTTAACAAATGGCGAAATCAAAAGCTCAAACACATTAAACAAATGGAAACAACTGTCATATTTCTGACTTGGTACTGAGATTTCCTTATGTAGAAAATGGTGGATTAAACCTGTTTTTAAATGCAATCTCTGGAATATTGTATCAACTGGGAGATTTATACTCAATATGCAGGCGCTTATGGAAAGATGCTACATAGAAATATAAAGTTTACGGTTGGGAAGCTGAAACAATCTCTTTGGTC